CCTCTCTGGGTGTCCTGCCTGGGGCGCCCCGGCCGCCCAGCACGGGAGGGGTTAAGCATGCGGCCAGCGAGCGGGGAAGGCTTTGCCATGGGTGTTGCTGGGAACAAGCAAGCATGCACACTGCCATCTGCACATTGCGATTTGGTGAGTGTGCAGGGGAGGGGCCCCCATCCCCGGCCCCGGGGGGTGCCGCAGCCCCCCTGCTTCGTGGGGAGGGGTGGGGGCTCTGCTGCAGCGCAGGGCGGGAGGTGGGGGGTGCTGAGGGGGGCTCTGCTGCTGCTGCTGCTCAAAATCCACCCAGCTTCGGTGTCCTCGTGGCCTGGGGACCGCTGCTTGTTCTGTGTCACCCTGGGCACCTCACTTCATCTCGGCCATGCCTCCGCCATGGGAGACAGAGGCACTTCAGCCCCGGCAGGCACCGGGGTGGGGCGTTGCACCCCTCCCTGTGCCTGCCAAGAGCAGCATCTGCCCAAGGCTCTCGTCCGGTCTCTATCAAAACCGGGCAGGGTGTGTTGTGCAATGGTCCTGATACAGACGCCCCGGTCCAGGGAGCCCCGCGTGCTCCCCGGCATCTCCCTGCACGCTTGTTCCTTCCCCGCTGCGAGGGGCTGCAGCGGTTGCCCGGTTGGGTCCCTTCCCCTCCCAAAACACCCTCCTCCAGCAGCAGGGCTTAACGTGTGTCTCCTGGCAATTTTCTGGGCAGATGCAGCCACTCCGGTGACTTTTTGGCTCCCTCTCCCATTAGAGCATCGCTCCCAGCAGCCACGGTGGGCGCTGAGCGACGGTGGGGTCCGTGCAGTGGGAAGGAGAGCCGGGAGAGCTGCACAGTCTCTCCCAGGACACTTCCCAGCAAGCAGGCGGTGAAAGGTGCTTCAGGCCCGTTTTTCTGCTTTAGTTGGCTACTTTGGCTTTTGGAGCCTGTGCGCCTGTCTGGAGAGTCGGTCTGTCCGTGCAGCTGCGATCCAGGGCTCAGCACAGCCTCCCCGCTGGGGATGGAGCTCGGCTTTTAATTTCCAAAGAGAAAAAGCTTAAACCCAGGTCAGTAAGGGCAATTTTGGGGTTTGGTATTTTTTTTTTCCTCCTTCCTTGGAAACGTAAACAGCATCCTTGACAGCTTTACATTGAGTTTGCCATGGCAACCTACAGCAGCCGAGTGCTTCCAACACCCCGTCCCCAAAGCAGGAGAGGCGATGAAGCCCAGTGGGTGCTGCCCGAGGGGCAGCGTGTGGGGCTGGATGCGGGCTGCCTCTGTACCGGTGCAGCTGGGCAGGTGCTTGGGGAAGGTGATAAACTTTGATCCAACTGGCCTGCGGTTTGCTCGGTGGGCCTGATCCTGCCAGGCTGAGCTGCCCCACCAGCCTGGCGGGGCTGGGGACTCTGGGCAGGGGAGGCGGCGGCTGGTGTTGCTCTTCCTTGGCACAGTGCTTTCTGCCCTGGATGGTGAGAGATGCCCAGGCTGGAGCGATGTGCGGGGGGAGCTGAGCTGGGGCACAGATTTCCCCCTCCTTCACGGGTAAAAAAAAAAAAAAAAAAGAATCTGAGCTTGGTCAGGGCTTGCTCCGTCTCTGGTTGTCAGACGGGGTGGTGCTCAGGTCTGTCTGCTGGGGTCCGGTCCGAGTGCGCCAAGCTGAGCAGGGAGGATTCCTGCTCTTGCCCGCTGGCCCAGCAGCAGCGGCTCAGGCAGCAGCCGCGGGCTGGCGTGTGCCGGGCTGCTGGTGCCACGGGCTGTGCCACCAGCATCGCAGCGAGACCGCTCGTGGCTTGGCTGAAGGTGTCGCGTGTGACATGTCCAGCTGATTTTTGTTTGTTTGCTTGTTTTTTTTCTTGTCCCTCTCTGAGCAGCCCCCTTTCCTCTCCCCCATAGTTAAAAGCCAGCAGGTCTCTTTCCTTGTGCCAGCACTGCTCCACTGCCCGGGGCAGGCACACGCAGCGGGCCGCTCCGGCCCCGGCGCTGGCCTGCGGCCGCTCTCCCCAGCCAGGACGGAGGTGTAATGCAGCCGTTTATTATTCTGGGCAGGTTTGTCTGCAGCACCACATCGGCTTCGCCGCTCCTTTCCAGCTGCTCCCTCCTTCCCGGAGCGTGCACTCTCCTTCCCCCAGCTTGCACCCGGCCACAGGTCAAGAGGGTCCGTGTCCTTCGCCACTGCCACCCCCAAACTCCTCCTGCAGGTCCCCGTGTCTGGCGCGGGGATGCTGTCTGGGAGGTGACGCAGCGCTGCCAGCGGCTCGGGGTCCCGTGCAGCCGGTTCCTGCGCAGGGCAGTCGGGCTCCTGCTCGGACTCTCCCACCTGGGCTGTGTTTCCTTGCCCTACGTGCCAAGGGCACCCTCAGGGAGCACTTCTTCCTCTCCAGTGCCTGGAGGCTCTGGAAATGAATTATTAGAGTCAGGGACAGCCTGCTGAATGCTGCTGGGGTCATTAGAAGCTGGTTAGAGCACTAGCTGGTAGGGAAGCCTAATCACAGCTCTCTGCTTGTCTGGGATGGATCCTTCCCAGCCTGGCCAAGGAGGGCGGGAGCCTGTCCTGTGCCAGCGGGATGGGGCAGAGACAGGCCAGGAATGGGTCTGTGACCTGGGTCTGTGGCCCGGCCGATGCTCTGACCCCAAACTGGGGCTGGAGGAGGATGCTCCAAGCAGATGGCAGGAGCTTTCCCCCGCCATGGTCCCTCCTTTCTTCTTGACCGGCAGAGCGAGTCCCCGGGGCCAGCACTGCTGGAGGGAAGGAGCCTCGCGGCTGGGCACGGGCTGGTGATGATCGGTGCCCTGTGGGCTCCTTCAGGGGTAATTACAGACTAGGCCATTACAGTATTAATTAACTGTCTGTCTTTTAACCTCTGAGCTCTCCTCAGAAGATGTTAGTTGCTATGAAAGAGGAAAAAATTAGTGTGTTGAGATGGGGGAATTATCTTCTTTTCTCTTGATCAGCAGGAGTCTGCTTAATTGGTCCTGCCATCTCCTACCTCTCGCTGCCAGCAGCTTTCATGCCTTTAAATGATACATGAACTGTGGGGTGACCGGGCTGGGCATGGGCAAGGATGCTGGTGCTGGTGATCTCTGCTTTATGGGGCAGCAGCAACGCTCTGCCCCATTTGGGTGCCCCAGGAGCCCCAGTGCTGTGGGGGGAGCAGGTCCGTGTGCTCCTCGTCCCTTTGCTGGCTGCAGCTGGTGGACAGGACCCTCCCGTGGCGGTGGCATTGCTGGTGTCTGAGGTTCGGTTGGTGCCTGTTGCCTCCTGATAACGCCAGCAGCTGCCCTGGGTGTTGCTGGTGGGGAGGGGAGCTGCTCGCGGGGGCCAGGCCCCAGATCGGCTGTGCAGGGAGGGCTTTGCTTTTTGGGGGTCTTGCTGGCCCAAGGGTTGCAAAGCCAGCGTGACCGGGACTGGAATTGGGGTTGTTTGCTGCAGGCTGGTGCTGGGATGGCCCCACGATGGTCTGGTGCCCATCTGTTGGGTTTGCGAGGGCTGGTGCATCCCGTGTGCTCCCGGGACGCAGTGATGGGTGTTTTCCCTCCTTCCTCCCATTCTCGTCTGGCCGCTTGGCTTCTCTGGCCGCTTGCTCTGCTGCTTCTGGTTCTCTGTCTCAGTGCGGATGCTGCCTTAGTGGCCATTCCCCTTTTGTTATTCATTTATATTGCTCTAAGAAAGGCTTTATTTTCTCTCCATAAAGAGCCTCCCTTGCAGGCTCTTTGCCTCTGTAGTGCTGGAGAGGTGTCTGGGAGCATCGCTGCTGGCGTCTGAGCTTGGGAGCAGAGCTGGAGGCTGCCTTGGGCGAAAGAAAGCCCTTCCCCTCTGGCCTGTGCTGCTCTGCCTGCTCCCTCCGTGTCCCCAGCGCTCGTCCTCTCTGCCCGGGATGCCAGCGGGGAACCCCAAGCCCCCGGGGAACGGGGGAGCTGCGGGATGCTCGTGGTCCCTGCCTGGCCGCAGCACTCGGGTCTGGCTGGTTGAAGCTGTTTTGCCCTCGCTGGCAGGGCGCGGGTGTAACCTGGCTGGCAGCAGTTTGGGGCTTTGTGAGCCGAGGCTGAGAGCTCGCTTGCTGCCTTCGAGGGGATGGCATGAGAGCTTGCAAGAAGAGTACAGAGGACTTCCCGAGACACAGCCTGGAAGGGTGTCGTTAATGCAAAAGCCTCTTCATTTTAGAGAAACGTGTGGGTTTTAGTAGCTTCTCTGGCTCCTGCTGAATCTCTCAGCTGATTACAACTCTGCTGGGTGCTGCGAGCCCCTTTCCATCGGTGCCAGCTAGCTCGGCGGGATGCTTCTGCTTACCTGTTGGCAGTGCGGTGAGTCGGCGCTCCCGCCCCAGGACGGCAGCCTGCGGAGGAAGCAGCTGTTTTCCACTGCCGAGATGTATTTTTAAACCAAACTGAATGGGAGCGGTTTTTCTGGGCTGGGCAGCTGGGGGTTGAGCGAAGAACCACCTGGGCGCCCTTCCTGCCCGGCCCCGCGCGCTGCCGGAGCTGCTGCCGCCGGTTTTCCCCGCAGCATGGCCGAGTGCCTGTGAAACGCCCCGGTCCATGCTGAGCCCATCTGAGCTCCCCGTGAGGTCAACTTCTGCTCGTCCAGGTTTTTTGGTCAAATCATGCTGACCCCCAGGGCCAGGTGAACAAGCCGGTGACTCCAAACCATGGTATTTCTGGTGGGTGCCCACCCTCGGGTGCTGTTGCTTCTGCTTGTCCGTCCCGTGGAGCGCGTGCATTTATTAGCAGACCTTCTAATGCCGGTATTTTTGTTTCCCATCCTTGTTTTTGCAGCTCCAGTTGCTGTGGTATCCAGGGAGCCCTCCTCCTTCTGCGGGAGATGCACGCTGGTCGTTGCTAAGGTCGCCTCCGCGGTAACATGCACATCCTGTTTACACCTTTATCCGGAGAAGTTGGGCTCGGTTAGAGGCACCCGCTTCACCCGGGCAGCCCCCACGGAAGGGACCGCACCGAGCATCCCCCCGCCGGACCCTCAAGGGAGGGTGCTGCAGGAGCCGCGAGCCGGCGCTGCCGCCGCTGCGCCGGCAAGATGACGAACAACGTGGCCGACCACCACCCCGGGAACTCGGTTGCCGAAGGCAACCATGAGGGGGACTTTGGTTGCTCCATGGTGGAGCTTAGGAACCTCATGGAGCTGAGGAGTGCCGAGGCGGTCGCCCGGCTCAATGACTCCTACGGCGGTGTGCAGAATGTCTGCAAGAGGCTGAAGACGTCGCCAGTTGAAGGTAAGTGGCCGTCCTGTGGTCTGCAAGGTGGGACCACCCGCTCGGGTCCGGCCAGTGCCTCGGGGCTGGAGCCATGCAAGGCTCAAGCTGGTGGCTGGAGAGCAGTGGCTCAAATAACTGTCCTGTGGCTGAGCTCAAAGCGTGGTCCCATTGCACCGGGCATCCACTGTGAGCCTCGTGGGCGATGGCTCCCTGCATCTTAATAAAATGATCATTTAAAGTAGAGAAGGAAGAAAAAGAAAGAGAAGCATCTTCCTTGGGGTTTCCCCCGAGGCGTAGCCCGGAGCCCCGCGTCCCCTGGGAGGACGGAGCGGAGGCGGGAGGACGGAGCGGAAGCGGGATGCGGGCAGGGGTGAGGAGCTGGCGGGGTATTAGAGGGGCGCAGGGGGGCTCCTCTCCGCAGCCCGGCTGCTGCCCCGCAGGTTGGCGCCAGCCTTTCCCCTGTTTAATAATTTACAGCGCTAATGGCAGGGCTGCGCGGGGTGCGGGTGAAGGAGAGTGTAAAGGTTGGAGCGTGCCCGGGGAGGTGGCCGGGCTGCGTGCAGCTCATTCGCAGGGTGTTAGCATCTCAGCCAAGGGACAGGCAATGCATCCCCAAAGGGGTTCGCTGCTGGGGACGGGGAGATGCACGTGGGCTTCCCTCGGATCTGCAGGGCTTCTTGAGCGGCTGTGGGAGCATAAAACCTGGCTGGGTGCTTCTGAGCATCACAGGTTTGAGCAGAGGCAGTGAAGCTTACCTGCGGGTGCCAGGTCACTTCTGGGAGGAAGGATGTCACCTCTCCTCCCCGTGGTTCGGGCTGGCCTTTCCAGGCCCCCGTATCACAGGGTAGGCGCTGGGGGTCCTGGCCGTGGGGTGGCTGCGGGTGTCTTTGCGTGACGATGCACCCCTTCTTTGGCATTAAAAGGGGTACAGGGGGGAGAGGCCCCCTGCTTACAGCACCGAGGGTTTACCTGGGACTGGGAACAGCACTGGCAGGATGCGGCCCCACGATGGCTGTGTGGGATGGGGACGTGGCTGCGCCTCGGCTCTGAAAACTTGCGGGTTATTATTAGTGCCGTAAGCTGGGGATTAGCGTGTTTCCCAGCTGTGAGTGGGACCGGGAAGGGGAGACAATATCGGGATGTCATTAGAGAAGGGGGAGGACTCCCGGTGGAAATACCAAGTCCAGGTTGCAAAACAATGTGCTTGGCCCTGCCAAACTGGGAGTGCGCTCCTTTGGGGGTGGGAGGGGGGGAAGCGAACCCGAAAGGCTCTGCCTTGGCCTGGCGGCTCTTGCTGAGGGTGAGGCGAAGGGCTGCCCTTCGATCCCGAGCGCTGCTTCCAGGCACTGGCTGGCATCGCTGTATCCCATGCCCCCAGCGTATCCCTGCCTCACCTGCTCTTGCTCTGGAGGTGAGCTTTGTTGCCTGTCCCAAACCCCATCCTGTTGAGCACAGAGAGCAAAGAAAGGTTATTTCCTACAAGTTGGGGTTTTTAGGAAGAGCAAAAGCCCAAGGCAGCCTGCGGCACCTTTGTCCGATCCCATCGGAGCGGGGCGTTTGGCTCCTGCTGTGCCGGGGCTGCCTCTCCACGGGCACCTACCCGAGAGCCCAAGACACGGCATGACACTGCCACGGTGCCACAATGCGGGAAACCCTGGCAGGTCGGGAAGCCACAAGCCAGGAGCGTGTCCCCTGCCTTGACACGTCCGTGGGCAAAGCCTGGGAAACAGGGAGTGGGGTCCTCGGGTGGCTGCTCGCCCCGGGCAGTGCAGCGCAGGTGAGCTCGGCCTGTGTGTGCAGGTGGGGTGCCCCAGACGGGGTTTAGTGAGAGATATGCAACCTGGGCAACGCCAGCTACGCCTTGGCACATGTGGTGTGGGGCTTTTTCCCTCTGGGAAGCCCTTTGCAGAGAGCCGGGGCTGACTCAGACTTGACCCCGAGCACCCCTCTGCCTGCAGACCCCTCCCCAGCTGGCCCTGCCCGGCCAAAGCTCGGGAGCTTCGCTGGACCCGTGGGCACGAGACAGGGCACCGCTGTGTGTGCGGGCACCGGGTGCACGTCCCGGCTCCATGTCGCAATAGGCAACCCCATGCAGATGGCTGTGCCCGGGCCCATGCTCGTTATCCCTCCGCTCGTTATCCCGCTGGGGTGGTGCGCAGCTCCCGCCCCATGCGGCAGGGAGCATGTGGCCTTGTGCTTTTCCTGGGTGCCACGGGAGGAGGCTGCTGGCAAGCAGCGCCTGCCTGGGGAGTCCCCCAGACCTCCTGCCCTGCCCTAAAATACGGCAGCCCGCTGCGGGCAGTGTCTGGAGCAGTTTGATCCCATCTGGGTGTGTGCGGCTCCTGCCTCTCGGTGCTGCTGCTCTGCTCTCCATGCTGCAGCATTGGCTGTCCTCGGTCAAGCTTGACGCTGTCCCCGCGGGGCAGATGCTGGCCACAGCCCCCCGGGGGCTGCCTTCACCCCGAGGGGTCCCTTGGGTGGTTTGTCCTCGTAGGGTGGGATCTCTCTGCAGTAGTTTTTGTTCAGGGGGTGTCTGGCCGGCAGCGGTGTGGGGGTCCGCTGGGACCTGCTGCTCCGGCTCCTGCCTTAAAAGGTGTCAGTGGACCCCAGCCCCTTAGGGCTGAGGAGCTCGGTGATGGGGTGGCTCGCTGCTGGCGCTGGCTTTCCACCTCCTCCATCAGCCCCGTCCCCGAGCCAGGTTGGACAGGGTGGGAAGAGGAGTGGGGCGGTGGCAGCGGCCGCGAAGCACAGGCGGCTTCGGTGAGTCACCGATTAGAGCGTCTCCCTTCCCGGTCTCCCCTGGGTGACGAGTGTCAGCAAACACCACCCTGACTCACCCGCTGGTGGTAGCGGCTCCCGGAGCTGCCGCCTCCTTCCCGAGCCAGGGCGAGGAGCCTGCTCCAGGGGCTCCTTGCGTGAAGGCTTTGCTACCCAAAAGCATCTTTCCTGGGCTGCGGTGCCTCCCATCCGATCAGGGACCGATGACTGCACAGGGGTTTTGTTCTCCTGCTGTCACTTGTGGCCTCCTTCCAAAATTTCCAATCCACTCCGCCACTAATCGGTCTCTCCCAGGCCCTGCGGTGGCCCCGGCCAGGAGGGGTTTGCTGGTAGCCCAGACCCACAGTGCGGGCCTGGAGTATGTGCCCAAGGTTTCTGCTCTCTACAACCTTCCCTGTGTCAGCACAGATAAATTGAAAGCCCCCCCTCCTCCCCAATTGCCCCAGGAGGGTGGGGGGCAGCTCTGGGGGCAGCTCCGTGGGTGCGAGATGGGCTTTGGAGGAGCCACGTGTGTAACCTCCCCCACCCCGTGGCAGCATCCCGCATCCTCGTGCAGGAGTGTGTGTGTGCCCGGCACGCCTGCCCACAGTGCACGCCGTGCCTCCCCGGCCCTGGTGCCGGCATGAGTCAAGCCGTGGTGGTTAGCCATATTTTCCATCCATCCCGTTGGAGACATCATTGGGCAGGAAGCGTTCCCGCATGGGTTGGGCTCGGGGAGGCCGGGAGATCCCAGGATCCTGCCGCCCTGTCATGGCTGGGTGGGGACGCCCAGGCTGCTCTGCCAGCGCATCCCCTCCCTGCAGCCGCGGGGTGTATTCGCAGCAGAAAGGGGGATGCGTGGCAGGGGAATGGGATTCATCCTGCTGCTTTCTCCTGGCTGGGATGCAACCGAGCTGGTGGGGAGGTGTCCCCTGAGTGGGAGGGCTTGGTGTCCCCCCGGGAGGGCATCGCTGCCAGGCTGCTCCAGGCACCGGGAGGTGCCCAGGGCCAGTACAGCCGCCTGCTCGGTGCCTCTCGGGAGCTGGCAGCAGCCCCACAGGCCATCTTAAGGTGGAAAGCAGGGGGGCTCAGCACCGGGCTCGGTTAAGGTGGTGCTGGGCTGGGGAGGCTGCTCTCACCTTGCACCCCATCAGCTTTTTAATGGCTTTAATGCCCCTTTCCTCACTCCCACCACCACTTTTCAGCAGCAGGAGCAGCCCTGTGTCTCCTCCACCAGCTCCCTGCGGGAGCTGGCCTGGCCGTGCTGCCCCAGCCTCTGTGGTCGTGACGCATCCGTGGGGCTCGGCCGAGCTCGGAGACGCTCCTGCTGCGCCAAGTCGCTCTCTGCAGCAGCTGCTCCTCCGAGCTGGCAGGAGAGAGGGATCAGGTGGCTCCGACAGCTCCGGGCGCCGCTCACGGTGCCAGATTTACGGCTAATTTGATGCAGCATGTAAACAAGCTGGCCAGTGCCAACTGGCATTAACTGGCACTCGGGTGCTTTGCGAGGCTGCAGCACCAGGGAGAGGCGGCTTGGCGTGCTCGCCCCGGCACGCTCTCCTGCCCGCGGCTCCGGCAGCGTCCTGCCCTGCCGGCTGGATGTCCCCTGCCCCATGGGTGATGGGAGCAAAGCCCTGCCTTGGCTTCCCCTGCCTGCACCTCATGGCCCTCGTGCAGGCGTGGAGCTGCTCCTTACGGGGGTCCCACCGGTGCTGGTGGGGGACAGCGGTGGGGTTTGCCCTCATCTCTGTCTGTCCCCTCTCCAGGCCTGTCCGGGAACCCGACTGACCTAGAGAAGAGGCGGCAGGTCTTCGGCCAGAACTTCATTCCTCCCAAAAAGGCCAAGACGTTCCTGCAGTTAGTGTGGGAGGCGCTCCAGGACGTCACGCTGATCATCTTGGAAATCGCAGCCATAATCTCCCTGGGCCTGTCCTTCTACCACCCTCCGGGTGGTGACAATGAACGTGAGTCCCTGGGGTCCCCGCGGCGTGGTGGGGTGCTCGGTGGGGAAGCCACGCGAGCCGCCGTGCCCAGCTGTGCGGGAGCAGGGCTTTGGGACAGGTGCTGTCTCTGGAAGGTCACTCTGTGGGTCCCTCCACCCTGGTGCAGATGGAGCAGGGAGCTACTTCTGCTCACCCTTTAGGTGGTGGCTTCTCCCCATCCTTGGCATGGTCCCATCCACGTCCAGGGACCTGCACTGATGGGCATGTCTGGGCACAGTTGTCACCACAACGTGGCTCAGAGCTGCTCCTTGCTGCTCGCCCAAAAGATGCTCAGAGACCAAGGGGTCCATCTAGTCCGGTGGCTTCCCAAGGCCAATGGGGCTTCTCTTTTGGTTTGGGCATGGAGGGACAAGGCTGTCTGTCCCCTGGGACCTCCCCATGGCCAGGGAGTGCTCCTCCCAGCCATGACACCCCATGTGTGGCTGAGCAACAGCGTCGGGCGAGTCTTTCCTCCCCAGTGCTGGATCTCTGTACGGTTGGAGGAGTGGAGCAGGGGCAGGGATCTGGAGGTGCAGGGAGACGGCGACTCACTCGAGGGTCACACAGCGGAGGGAGCGCTGGGTGCGGAACTGGAAATAGAAGCCACCTGTCCTGGCTTTCTCAGCCCAACCTCTGCCAAAAATGAAAAGTGAAAAAGATGGGGGAGGGAACACAAATGCCTCCAGGGATGTAAAAACCTTCTGAGAGCAGGGGAAGCCCTTGGACCAGCTCGGGGAGGAGGAGGGAGGAGTAACTGTCTTCCAGGCTCTGCTCTGCGCGTGTTACTCGGGGGAAAGCGAGTGTCTCGTTGTGCAAACGAGTTTTCCCCTCCAACTGCAGTGTGCGGCCAGTCGACAGGCGGTGTGGAGGACGAGGGCGAGTCGCAGGCCGGCTGGATCGAGGGGGCGGCTATCTTGTTTTCGGTGATCATCGTGGTGCTGGTGACCGCCTTCAATGACTGGAGCAAGGAGAAGCAATTCCGGGGCCTCCAGAGCCGCATCGAGCAGGAGCAGAAGTTCACGGTCATCCGCAAGGGGCAGGTGATTCAGATCCCGGTGGCCGAGATCGTGGTGGGAGACATCGCGCAGATCAAGTACGGTGAGTGGAGGCGGCGGTGGCTGGGGTCTGTCCCTCCACCTCGGGAGCCTTGGCGGTTGCTCCTCTCTGCTTTGCCAGCCCTTTTGCCTTGAGGGGAAGTGTGGCTTCTCCAGTTACTCCATTTTGCAGCTTGCCGTGGCCAGGAGCAATGGGAGATGCTCCACTGACCTTGCTGCTTGCTGGCAGAGCTAAGCCAGGCTCTGCACACAGCTTTGGGTTGCTTTAGCGACCTGCTGGTCTCAAAAATGATTCATTTTCACAACCATGTCCTTCTTGGTGAAAATCTCCTCAGCAAGGAGGAGCATCTTCTTAGCAAGGAGGCGTAGCCCTTGGGCTAAACTAGGTCCTGTTCCTTGTTTGCCAGGGGGGAATGCTCATCCCATGCAGCTCCCATCAGGAAGGAGATTGGTCCAACATGGTGTTCATTTTCACACAGGGCTCTTTCCTTCCTCGGTGGGTGGATGATGGGATTGCGTAAGGGTCTGGATGTATCGGGAGGCTTTGGGAAGGACATGGTGTTGATTCAGTAAAACCAGAGGGGGGAAGCACCGTCTGATTGAGCAGACATCCTCACAACGAATGCTTTTGTGCATCGGTGAAGATTTTGGAGCCATTGGATATCATTTTATAATACTCATCTGTTGCTGCTCCTCCCTCTAGATTTGGTCCTTTGAGTCCCTTTGGTGACACACGAAGCCCCCTCCTGGGATGGTCAGGCAGGGGTGAGCTGCGGCCGGCCGGGCTGGGGCTGACCCCCCGCTTTGCTCCTCTCCTAGGTGATCTCTTGCCAGCAGACGGGATCCTGATCCAGGGCAATGACCTGAAAATAGATGAGAGCTCGCTGACCGGGGAGTCAGACCAAGTCAAGAAATCGCTGGATAAAGACCCCATGCTGCTGTCGGGTGAGGATCCCGGGCAGCTCTCGTGTGGTCGGCGCAGGGCTGGGCTGGGTTCATGACCGCTCCAGAATCCTGCGTCCCGGTGTTGGGGAGGAGATGGGAACGGCGTGCCCGTGTCCTGTCTCACTGTGGCCTTCCTGCTGTGCCAGGTACCCACGTGATGGAGGGCTCCGGCAGGATGGTGGTGACTGCCGTGGGTATCAACTCCCAGACGGGAATCATCTTCACTCTCTTGGGTGCAGGAGAAGGAGACGAGGAAAAGAAGGTGAAGAAAGGTAAGGAGAGCCACTGAAACTGCTTTTTCCCTCCTTTTGCCTTTCTCCCTTTCCTGGGAAGCATCCACCGGTGTGCAACAAGCTACACCCACATCCGTGGGACGCAGCTGTGTGTTAGTGCCCGTGACCCAGGCAGGTACGGTGAGATCTCGAGGCGGCGGGGGGGCATCCCTGCCTGCTGCCCCTTCGCCCGCAGTGTGTGGATCGTGCTGCCTGAGGAAAGCCCCCCGTCCACCCAGACCTCCACTCGCCAGCTCTTTCAGACACGGCTCCAGCTCTCTCTTCTCCAGCCGGCCGCAGCCGGGAGTTGCAGGGTGGGGGTGGCGAAGGCTCAGAGGGAAAAGCGGCCGATAGCGATGCCCCGCCGTGCCGTGGCACGGTGCTCATTGCCCGCCCCGTGGTGGGAAGGTGAGTCCTGGTTGTCCGCAGGATGTTAGTAGCCCACCCAGCACCCTGAGGACTTTGCTGAAGATCTCTGCTGGCGTCCCCTGAGCTCCCAGGGGAAGGAGGCGAAGCACAGCGGATGGCAAGAGGGAGAGGAGGGCTTGCGTGCTGGGGTTGGAGGGTAGGAGAGCAGCCAGGCGGGCTGAGGTGTTCCTGATCATGCTGGGACTCGAATGCTTTCCTGCCTCAGCTCTTGCATCTTGCTGCTTATTCCCCTGCTCTGTGCCAGCTCTGATACCAACTTTAAAGCCAGTATCGGTGCAAGCCAGGCTTGGGAAGCTCCTGCTCTCCCCCGTGTCGCTGCATCCCTGTACAGCAGGTCTGGGCTCACTGGGAGCAGCCACGAGGTGCGAGGTGCCAGCAGGAGGGAGCTGCCGGCTGGCATCGCTGGCTGCGCAGGCGTTCCCGCGCCGGGGAGCCCTTCCCGGGAGGCGATGCCACACGGGGAGAGGCTTGCCGGGCCCCTCCCGGCAGCCGGTCTGGCCCTGGGGCGCGGG